ATGCCTCACAGACAGAAGACAGAGGGATATCCTCCTACGATTATAGTGGGTCCATGTGGGGTGTATGAGTGTGAGGGGTGTGCCTTTTGGTCAGAGGTAGTGGGGAATAAGTATTCTGCAGAAGAGAGGGGCAGGGGGTGGTGGAGGAGAGGAGGAAGGGGAAAGAAGAGAAAAAAAGGAGGAGGGGAGAAAAACAAGGGGGCCTCCACACCTTATGTTTGGTAAAATGAAATATAGCATTTGGTTTTGAGTTTAATATCGCTTTAAAGCTTAAAGGGTATTTCCACTTTTGCAACAAATTTGGAATAATACATAACTGAAAAATTGTTACATGTCCCTATTCACATAACATAACTTAAACAAAAATAAAATAAAAAAAAATGCAATTTACCTTTATTAGATGCTCTTTTTGGAGTGTCAAGCAAGGAAAAATTCTACTTAGGTCTCTTTGTTATGAGGAGACCTAGGAAGCCTTGTTTGGTATAATTATCCCTGTCTGTTCTGTGCAGATCTCATCAATAGCTCTGGATCATTGTGTGGTTTATTTACTAAAGCTGGATATTGCAAAATCAGGCTCTCTTCTGCACAGAAACCAAACAGATTCCAGGTTTTATTGACAAAGCTTTATTGAACAAGCTGAAGTTAGAAGCGGATTGGTTTCTATGCAGAAGTGAGCCTGACTTTGCACTCTCCAGCTTTAGTAAATAAACCCCTATCTGTCTTAACAAAAGGTTAAAGGTTGAAGCTGGGCCTCCCCAATGTATGTAATGAGAACTGTACTTAGCCTGATCCCAGCCCATCTATTGGGGAAGATCATCCTTAGCAGACACCTTCTCCTGAAAACACTGAAATGGTAAGGTATATGAAACAAACAAAATTAGGTATTCTGTATGAATTGGAGCACATAGCAAATATATAGTGGGGTTTTCTCAAATTTGACTGCAAAAGTGGAATTACTTTTTAAATTTGATTATAGGGAATGGGTTTACATATATATGTTTCCATTTCAGTCTGAAGTCAATTTTTTTTCAGGTCACTTGTGCATGTGAGAGGGTATTTAAATCTTTTCCTTATTTACTAGCCCCAGAAAACATTTTTTTAATAAATTAGCTCCATAGATTTGTATAGTAAACAGGTGCTGTAGAAGAAACAGAGCCTGCACATGTAATGATTAAATATGGCTGCTCCCATGTACATGTATATTGATTTAAATATGATGTACATATATAATTATAAATCATACAAAGAAACAATGTTGTTAAAACGTTAACACATAATGAATGATGCAATTATTTACATCAAGCTGAAATCTTCAGTCCATCATGAATGCTGATGCCGGACTCATCCACCTTACTAACCGTTCCGTATCTGCCACCTCTCTCTGCCAATCCCTCCACTGGCTTCCCGTTGCCCAACGGATAAAATTCAAAACACTAACAATAACGTATAAAGCCATTTATAACTCTGCCCCAAATTACACATCACCAATCTTGTCTCTAAATATCACCCAAACCGTACTCTCCACTCCTCGCAAAACCTCCTGCTCTCTAGCTCCCTTGTCTCCTCCTCCCATGCTTGTCTCCAGGACTTCTCCAGAGCTTCCCCCATCCTCTGGAACTCTCAACCCCAATTTATCAGACTATCGCCTACTCTGCTCAGTTTTAGGTGATCTCTGAAAACCTATCTCTTCAGGGAAGCCTATCCTGCCCTCAGCTAATACTGAATCTTCTACTCTTCCAACTAGTCCATCCCCCACAGTTACTACCTTTTTGTACCACTAGCCGCTCCCTCCTAGATTGTAAGCTCCAAGGAGCAGGGCCCTCAAATCCCTCTTGTATTGAACTGTATTGTTACTGTATTGTCTCCCGTTATATTGTAAAGAGCTGAGCAAACTGTTGGCGCGATATAAATCCTGTATAATAATAATTGTATTTCTAAAAACACTAAAAGGACTATACTTTCCCTTTAATAAGGTCACTTCAGGTACATGCAAGAATGGCTTTCCTTGCTCCTCAGTACAGGAACATATGGTTTCAGTGACATCTCTCTTTTTACAATGAATGAAATACAACCTCGTTTGTTTCAGCATAGAGTAAGATACATTATTTATATCATGCCTGCCGTATTGATCTTGCCAGTACTAAATCAAGTGCCAAGTATTTCTTTTATACTAGGTGTCACATACTCCCATTATTTTATGATATATAATTTTAATCATTGATCTATAATTTAAAGAGTGTCTTCCACTAAAAAAAGAAGACTTAGACATGTAGAAGTCACTAATTAGATAAAATAGCATCTTTTGACTAGTTACATGCAGTGTTCAGGGACAAAACAGCACAAGGGCTCTGACTCCATGCAGCGTATATACGGATTGCTACAAAGTTCAGAAAATAAAAATAAAAAGTTCCAATACTGAGTTTTCACTGCTGATTACGTGGCTGCTCTGCCACCCTGTGATCTTCTTTCATGTGTCAGCTTTTCTTTAATCCTTGCAGAAGCTCCAAAGCTGACTCTACAAAAACCACATACAAGGCAACTAAGAATGGCCTGTGTTCTGACTTTGTACTAGTACAATTTATTTATTAATATGGTTCAATGTTGAGAAAATGGCAGAAACACACAGCAACCAATGGGAGAAAGACTTTCCCTGTTTTGCTTTGAAATAATTTTTAATCAATGAGTTCACATATTTAATGATGCAATGTTTCTGGTAAGTCTTTGAATGGCTACATTTATATTATACTGTAATTTTAAAACAAAAAAATGCAGATTTAACTATGCCTAAATCTACTTCCACCCTTTCTAAACTACTTTATCTACCCTGTAACAGAAAAGATGTCTATACTTACTTCTTCTGAAGCCATTCCGATCAAGTCACATGATTGGGTCCTTGCATTGGCTTCAGTGTAGAGGAGAGAGCAGCAACAACGGCTGACCCATAGTAATCCTATGGGTGACGTCATCACCTATGCTCTGCTGTCGTCGATGCTCTTTCCTCTACACTGAAGCCAGCGCAGGGATCTGATCATGTGACTGGACTGGAGCAGATTCTGAATAGGTATTTATGGACATCTTTTCTTTTAGGCTTCATGTACACGAGCAGCTCCTAAGCTTGAGTTTAGGAGCATTTGGCATTTCTTTGCCATAGCACTTAAACTCAAATCCATAAAAGCCTATGTGTCCATGTACACATAGGCTTTTAGCAGAGTTTAGGAGCTGCCACATTTAGGTGTGGTTAAACCTCCCTTTTCTGAACTCAGAAGAATCACATTCAGGATAGGAATGTTTTGACCATGGGAAAACACAAAACGCTGCAAAACCGATGCAAAATACACCAACCGCAGTACCGTGATTCTGTCACAATTTGGTTTTTCCCATGGCCGGCGGTCAGGGTAGGATTGTGTACATGAAGCCTTGGAATGGGGGTTGTGTTTTTTAATTTAAAATTTCTTAGCCCTGGTTCACACTGATTCTGACTTTGAAATCATGTGACTTAACTTGAAGTCTCACGATTTCAAAGCCACAGGTCTGTGCAATTTCAGGTGCGACTTGCCTGACATCTGTGTGACTTCATACACCGAGTCGCACCGATTTGGACAGTTCCATTGCCGACAATGTGGTGTGACTTGTCATGATATCTGGAACTGTCAAAGTGCATGACAAGTCACACAGGTGTAAATCAAGAATTACACTCCCACCGAGAACATTATATATTTTTCTGAATGAAGAGGTCCTGTAGGATAAAAAGATAATTGTTGCAGGTTTTTTTTACGTCACATGATATTTGTGAACTGTCAAATCCATATAATTTAATCCCCAATTTTTAGTACAATATTGAAGATGAGGTAGTGTAGTAGAGTTATTTAATAGCAAATATGTCAATCCTTACTTTAATGTGTAGTGGATTTTGTGATAGACAGTCTACGTTCTATTAGATGATCAGTAAAATGGCAATTTTATAGTCTTGCTACTCTCTGCTTCTTGCTCTCTAAATTCCTTACTCTCTTAAGAAAACAATCAGATATAGGGCAACGGAACAATGACAATTAAGATGGCGCCTTCATCCGGAGTCTTACCCTAGGTGACTCATTAAAAGAAAAGTATCTTTTAAACAACCCCCATAAAAGGGAATGAGTCGTTTTGGTGACAATGATTGGAAGATATCAACACGGATGGAAGAAAACACAGGAAACTTAGGGGACTTTTCACCCAATCATCGGATATGCTTCGCCTGTGTCATGAGACTTATAAATGTTACTGTTATTTCCTCAATAAAGCAGAAATTAGGAAGTTGGCAAACTGCATTCTGTGCCAGTGTCTTACTTCCACGTGCACGTATTCTCACATTAATTAGGCTCACTGGTAGATCACAACAGCTGTGGTCGGTAAGTGATCACAATCAAAACATATGGCCACAAAAACCTCACTTTTATAGAAAATTCTGCACAAAACTGAAACAAGCTCATGGCGGCCACAGCAGTCGGGAGTGTGGTTTAACTTGTTCAGATTTTGGATGTTCAATACAAATGCAAGGAGATGAAGAGGTAAAACAAATCCTTTCCATTTTCAGTGACAATCCTTATTTTAGACTAAGATTCTTGCTCTCTCTTTCAATTTGAACTCAAACATTGGCTCATACCTAATTAGCACTTTTTTAGCAAACCTAAAAATCTTAAATGTTGTAAAACAGATTTGAGGATGTAGAGGAGATGTCTTCAAGATGTGCATAGATGAGTACAACCAATTTCAATATTCCATAAATTTTCTTTAATGCTTTGCTTCAAGTAAAAATTATATATATAACATAGTAAAAAGTATATATAAAAGTATATACTGTCTTGAAATTTTAAAGATAGGCAACTCCTATACTAATATTGGTAAGTGGTTACCAAGTAATAATAACTACTGCAGTAAGGAACAGTCAAAAAATTATTTCTTTCAAATAACTGTCCTGTTTATTTGGTGCATTTGATTTTTTTATAACCATACTTATGTATCACATTACTAATACAAGCTATGTAAAATAGTGTAAGCAGTACATGAGCAGACTTTTGTTTTATCAGGGTCTAAGGATTCTGCCAGCTGTGCAATAAGTCCATCCGTGAAATTTCCTTACTACTTGTTCCAAGGTCATCTGTTAGTGGTATTATAACAAAGTGGAATCAACTGGGAAAAACAGCAACTCAGCCATAAAGTGGTAGGTCACGTAATATGACAGAGCGGGGTCAGCGAACAGAGCACAGAAGTTGCCAACTGTTTACTGAGTCAATAACTAAAGACCTCCAGAGTTCATGTGGCCTTCAGATTAGTACAACGATGTGTAGAGAGCTTCATGGAATGGGTTTCCATGGCCGAAAAAGCTACATCCAAGCCTTACATCACCAAGTGCAATGCAAAATGTTGGATGCAGTGGTGTAAAGCACGCCGCCACTGGACTCTAGAGCAGTGCAGACATGTTCTCTGGAGTGACCAATCACGCTTCTCTGTCTGGAAACCTGATAGACGTGTCTGGGTTTGGCGGTTGCCAGGAGAACGGTACTTACCTGACTGCATTGTGCCAAATGTCAGTTTGGTGGAGGGGGACTATGGTGTGAGGTTGTTTTTCAGGGGTTGGGTTCAGCTCAGGTGTTATAGCCAGAAGAGTCAAATTGTGGTCAGGGCTGAGAGACTCTGCAGGCCAGCCCCTCTGGAATTTTCCCCTGCTCTGGGGCTCTTGGAGGAGGGCTTTGGAGGTACTGGGTGGGTCTGAGGAGTGGCTGGCTGCACTCCCAAACAGAAAGCTTGGCAAGGCACTGGGATTCCCTTAAACGTGTAGGAGCCTACTCAGTGGCAGGAGTGTGGTGAAGGGAGAGGTGTAGAGAGTTGGAGGAAGCTGTGAGACTGAGGAAGGTGGCTGCCAGGAGGCCTAGTGGTATGGGGCCTGTCTGCGAGCCTGGAGCTGGAGAGGTGGAAAACTTGGAGCTTACTGACCCCCTGAGTGAGGACTACCTGTATGGCAGGGAAGGAGCAGCCCAACTAATAGGCCTGGAGGCAGCAGCCAACCCACAAGCAGTACAGGAGAGGATCGGAGTGAGTACACCTGCACCCCCTGGGCGCATAGGGAAAGGAGCACTCTGGTGAGAAACCAGATTAGCCCCCTACTAGTGACTGTTCACCTCATTTAAAGGGACAGGAGCTAGATTTCCTGCTCAGGAAAAGTCTCCAGATTGCTTGGCAAAGAGGACTTCATCTAGAGTCTGGGGTAATACAGCTAGGAGATGGTGGCTAGCACTCCAACAGAGACTGTGTCACAGAAGAGAAGCTTGTGACTAGTTCCAGGAAGTTTGTCCTCAATTATCAGCTCCCTTGGGCATCCTATACCCCCTTACCCTATCCCAGTTCAAATCCCCTCAATAAATGACAAAACTAAAGCTCAAGGACTAATTTTTTTTATTCAGGATACAAGGTTGTGTGGAGAATGTGGATTGCCTTGCTGTTCAGGACTATAGAGGGACCCAACTCATCAGCAACACCTAAGGGGGTAGTTCTACATATATAGCAAAACTCCAGGACATAATGAGATTATAAACCGATCAGCCATAACATTATGACCATCCACCAAGCCATCGAGGGATGAACACCACTAGACATCTGAAGGTATGCTGCGGTATATGACACCAAGCCATCAGTAGCAGATCTTTTAAATCCTGTGGGGCCTTCATGGATTGGACCTGTTTTTCAATACATCCCATAGATGCTTGATTGGATTGAGCTCTGGAGAATTTGGAGGTCAACACCTCAAACTTTTTGTTGCGTTCCTCAAACCATTCTTGAATTTATCCAACCAGGCCACCTTCTTCAATTGCTCTGTGGTCTAGTTCTGATGTTCAGGTGCCCACTGTAGGCACTTTTAGCTGTGGACATGGAACAGCATATGCACCCTAGTAGGTTTGCGACTACGTAGCACCATATGTAACAAACTGGGATGCACTGTGTATTTTTTTATTTATTTAATCAGAACCAGCATTAATGTTTTTAGCAAGCTGAGTTACAGTAGCTCTTCTATTAGATTGGACTACTTTGGCTGACCTTTGCTTCCCATGTGCATCAATGAGCCTTGGCTACCCATGACCCTATCACTGGTTTGCCGGTTTTCCTTCCTTGGAACACTTTTGGGATTTCCTGACCACTGCAGACCATGAACATCCCACAAGAGCTGCAGTTCTTGAGTTTCTCTCTAGTCATTGCAATTTGATGCTTGTCAAAGTTCCTCATATCCTTACACTCAAACTTTTTGTTTTGCTTTCAGCTCATCAACTTCAGGGACAATATGTTTGCTTGCTGCCTAATATATCTAAAAAAAAAGTACAGAATACAGAATTAATTTAGCATATGCAATCATTTATCCCTCAGGGATACTTCAGGTAAACAGCAGTCAGCCTTGTAAATGCTGGCATCTGGAAAGTCTGGCCAGAATGTGGTATTGTCATAGCAACCCACATTGCTGAAAATTACCGTATATACTCGAGTATAAGCCGACCCGAATATAAGCCGAGGTACCTAATTTTACCACAAAAAACTGGGAAAAACTATTGACTCGAGTATAAGCCGAGGGTGGGAAATGAGGCACCTACTAGTCAATGTAAAAAATAAAGTGGGAGGAATAGTGCCCCATCATTAGTATCAGTGGGAGGAATAGTGCCCCATCATTGGTGTCAGTGGGAGGAATAGTGCCCATCATTGGTATCAGTGGGAGGAATAGTGCCCCATCATTGGTGTCAGTGGGAGGAATAGTGCCCCATCATTGGTATCAGTGGGAGGAATAGTGCCCCATCATTGGTGTCAGTGGGAGGAATAGTGCCCCATCGTTGGTGTCAGTGGGAGGAATAGTGCCCCATCATTGGTATCACTGGGAGGAATAGTGTCCCATCGTTGGTGTCAGTGGGAGGAATAATGCCCCATCATTGGTGTCAGTGGGAGGAATAGTGCCCCATCGTTGGTGTCAGTGGGAGGAATAATGCCCCATCATTAGTATCAGTGACACCAATGATGCGGCACTATTCCTCCCACTGACAACAATGACACTTGCTGACCCCTGTTGCAGTATGGTGCTGCTGCAGCCAGCATATGTGGTTGCAGCAGCACCTCTGCACTGCACACTTACCGGCTTTTCCCTCACTCAATTTTCGCGGGTCCGCTCGGCTCCGCCTCCTCGCCCGTGATTGGCCGCCTGTGTACCTTTCCTGAGCTACAGTTCTGGTGGCCAATCACCGATGAGGAGGTGGAGCCGAGCGGCAGGAGTGAGGGAGTGGCCGGAGTGACGGAAGGAGCAGCGCTTCCTGGATGGATCATCGTGGGAGCCAGGTAAGAGACAGCAGCCCTCTGCCCACCCCTGTACGCGCCCCCCTTGACGGAGCCTCACGCCCCCCCTGGGCAGACGTTGACTCGAGTATAAGCCGAGGGGGCCGTTTTTCAGCACAAAAAATGTGCTGAAAAACTCGGCTTATACTCGAGTATATACGGTATGTCATACAGGTACAAATTGGTTGTACCTTTGCTTAGCATCAAGGCCTAGACAACTAGAAAACTCAAAATTGTTACAACAGCAATAGAAACGATAATTTGAGTATATGTAAACTGCAGTAGCAGTCCAACCATCAAACAAGGAGAAAAAACAAAAAGCAGCAGAGTAACAAAGGAATAAACCATAAAAACCCAGAAAAAAAGATAAAAGAACAAAGAATTATTGAAAACAATCAAAATAAAGTGTAAGTATAGAAATAAAATAAAGAGTGAACAAAACACAAGAACAAAGAAAATGGGGAGATGCTGACCAAAGAAAAAAAATAAAGAACATAAAATAAAGAATAGAAATTACAGCAGGTATAATAAATAAAACATTAAAATATAGGGCACCACCTGAACAACAGGGTAGGCAAAGAATAAAAGTAAAAAAGGGTTGTGAAATAACAATACAATTAAGATAATATTATTATATAACATGTGTGATAGGAATTGCAAAAAAAGAGATCTAGTGGGAAGGAATGTTATGGAATAGGCACAGGGACTATAGGATAATGCCAGCATAAATCAAGCTTGCATTTTTATACTAACCTCCCTATAAACATTTCCCATATACCTGTACTTATGCAAATATCCATTACAAAAAAAAAAAAAAGAATGTAAAGCTTAATTATTTATTCAATACTCTGGGAGTAAGAGTCGGGCTTATTTTTCCAATAATGACCTAGGTCTATTGTCCCCACAGGATGGTGGAGGAACATGATTATTGAGCAAACAACACATGCTCAGAGGTAGATATTCAAACTCTGTGAAATATACTGCAACAGGTTGATCAGTGGATCTAGATGCTAATAGCCTCATAATTTTCTCAATGTAATATAATGCAAAAGAATAGCAAAAATGTAAATCATGTGTCCTTTACTGCATTTAAGCCAGCAGCAAACAGGAATGCATTTTTTTTACCCTTTGATGGAATGAAGGATGCAAGACAATGTAATGGGTTAGCTGCATGTAATACAGCTGGGGTCCTGGTAGCAGTCTAGCTTAGGTGGGGCAAGCCATGTACCTTCACACTGAGAAAAGAAAGAAGCCAAACTACTACCTAAGCCATCTAAAGGATAAGCATGCTTTACCCAATCAGCCTTAAAAGTAGAATACCAGATAAAACTTAGCTACCCTTAAAAATGCTTCCTCTTCTCTCCTAACACCTGATCTGACTAACCTGTGTAAGAAAAGATCTGTATACTTACCTATTTTCAGGTCACTCTGGTCTCTCTTCCCTCTGTCAGCCAGAGATGGTTGCAAGGTAAAGGACGGAGTGCCAACAACGGATAGCCCATTGAAAGTCTATGGGTGACATCACCACTTCCAGACATTGCCAGTCATTGTTGCGCACTCTCTGCTCTCCCCTGCAGCTGCTGCAGGCTGATACAGAGATCATGTGACCAGACCAGAACAGCCTGAAAATAGGTATGTATACAGATCTATCTTTTATGGGATAATCAGAAGAGGTGTAAAGAGGGGGAAGGGGCATTTTTATGAGTAGTTAGGTTTTGCTTGGAATTCTACTTTAAATTTTGCATGCGTGCAGGTTAGGCAAATGGTCTCTGAATGCATGAAACACATTTATATCTACTACCAAATTATGATTAATAATTTCAGTCTCTTCTCTTTTAGAAAAAATCAGAGTTACAATCTTATCTTTGTTATGGGAAAGCAGTTTGAAGATTTTATGAATTCAGTATTATTCTAATTATCTCTCTTTGTTAAAAACGTAGCAAGAAATTGTGTATTTTCTGCATTTTCATGTTCTGTCAGTGTGAGGTGTGATACCTCTGACTGAATGTAGATCACATAACACCGCGTAG